ACAACATTATACAAATTGTAAAAGACCTTTTTCCCTAAAAATATAGTCAAGTTCTCATGTCTAATAAATATCTTCCTGAACTGAGTGGCCTACACAAAACAGGATTGAATCCTATAAATGCCCTTGCTCTCTTAAGGATATTTTCTTATAACTGTGTTAATTTCATATTAGATGGGCATGACTTAACATAATGTGAAACATAAAATAACAAAGCTTAACTATATAAACATTAGAAAGTAAAATACAGACATCTAACAAGTACCGCACGGTTCTAGTTGGTCATTTCAAAAGATCTCCTATATTAGGAAACTCTTGAGCAAATCACTTTCCATAGAGCTCAATTTTTTAAATAAATTATGTCAAGAATATAGTTTTAAATGAACTACGAATCCTACAATTAAGACAAATTCTGTAATTTCCACCCTATCCCACTCCAGGATGAAAGGCAGTTGAAGGGGAAAAAATAATCACTCAAATATCCATTTCATTTTTCCTTTCACAGCTCATGCCTCCCTCCCCTGATCCCTATTTAGTTCACTAACTCTCCACCTGAACTCTTCTCTCCTAGATAGCAGGTACGCCCTGAGCCTTCTCAGATTCAATTACTTTAAGATTTTTGCTTTTCCCATTTTTCATCTGCTCAACTTCCCTATGAAGGCACTTTTCAGAAAAATGTAGTTACATTTCAACTACTATATGGATCCACAATAAGCATGAGCACATTGGCTAAGCTGGCCAGACTACTGACAGAAAAAAATGAAGACAGGTCTTTCTCAGATTTCAGTCCCACAGGATTAGAGCTCCTGGCTCTTGAACTACTATTCTATAGAACACTCACTTGGCATCCATCTGATGCTACCCACCTTCACCCTCCCTTTTCCATCAAGATGTATGTCCTTTAAGGTGCTATCTATTTAAGGCCCCTTGTTCCCAAAGTACTCAGTGGGTGCCTAGTGAGTGATGGTAATGACAGCATTTCTCCTTAGTTCTCTGGTTAGAAGGCAGGCCCCTGAACAGTCTCCTACTTTCAAGATTAATGTTCAAGATCATTTATCAATTCACACTATGAACTACTATATTGTCTGTGGGGGTGTGTCAGGCAAACAGGTTCTATCTCCTGTGTAATGCTGCTTATTCAAAAGCAACTGCTTCAAGTGCTGGGTTAAGAAAGACAGATGACTGATGTTGCCCAAGAGGTAAGGGGCAGGGTCATCCATGGCTGTTTCTGCCACCCCAGCTCTAAACACATAAGCAAAATCTGAATTTCATTATCTTCAAAAACATCTCACTATTAAGTTTCTTTCCCTTACTGAAACATTGGGCCAGGGATAGAGGATTCAGGGTCTTTCAAATATGTATTTCCAAGCGCAATTCTTTTATATAAAAATTCAGTGAAGGACTCTTCCTGATGAATCAGACGTAAAAGTAAACATCGTGGACCCTGAGTTCCCTCCTCTTCCCTCCAACACAGGGTAAAAACCGTTTCTTCAGAGCTTTCAGCAAGAACTCTGAAAGTGCCGCTAGTTTTTCCACAAAAGTAAAACCATCAAAGCTCCTTGTTCCAGAAGCAACCCCATCAGGATCACTTAAGGAAGGATTCCATTGCCTGAGCAGTTACTATCTTTTATTCTAGTGGATGCTGTGTTCTTATTTGAAGAGTTCCTTTTCTTATCCTGCGGTCTCTCCCATATATTTGTGTATCAAAGCAACCCCACAGTCGGGGTGACATTTAGGGGATTTGGTTTTAGACTTTTGTTCTGAAATCATTTAAGAAAACCTTGCACATCGTTTCACATGGTGACACTGCAAGTTCAAACCCCATTACCACCTCCAGAACAATGAAGTGTCCTAGGGATGAACAAGCAAGTTCAAAATAACAAATCAAACCTGTTCTTTTGATTTGTTTCTAGTAGTGTTATCCTCAGCCAGAAAAAGTCCTTTCTTTTTTTTCTAACGAAAAATATCAAATATTTCATAAGCATTCTCTAAAGAAGTGCACTTACGGAGTGAAAAACATCAATTTCTAACAACTTCCACTTCTATCTTTATAATCACATTTATGTTATTTCCAAGGCAATTTTCCTCATCAATTTCCATTTCCCCAATCAAATTATATTGCTTAAAAAGCAAATTTTTACTTAATACATGTGGTCCCTCTGCATTATAGTAACATACTTCCTTGTTATCTCCTCTAACCCTTCTAGAGCCTCTACGTCATTTATAAACTGCTTGGCAGTTTCCCCTCCTAATTTCTATGATTGAGAATAAACCACTTAGGCCAGATTCATTTAAAGGTTCATTAACATTTTTATATGATTATAATGGAATAAAAGCCTTTCCAAGACAAAAAGTCCATTAGAGTAAGAAAATAAGTAAAAATAGTTTTTTTTTTTTCTGAAGAGCAAGAAATATTTTTATCGAAGGTCAATTTCCCTTTAAAAGTTAACTGAAAATCTAAAAGCTTCCCAAATTCCAAACATTGAAATTGCTGAAATAAATATCTCATGGTAGTAAAAAGACATGATTATCCACACATGAGTTTACACTGTATCAGGAGTAATGAACAAGCCTCAATGGGCCTGAACAGCAGCAGTCCAGCAGATGTGGGGGCTCTGAAAGGGTTTAGTTTAATCTACCCTCCCTAGTTTTTTCTTCCCTGACTATGGGCTACCTGAGCCTTGAAACCAGAGATGCAACTGTTGCAGTCAACAGAAATCAGAGGAGCAGAAGCAGCTCACACAGATTGAGGCAAGGCCTAAAATTCTTATCACTACTTTATGCATCTACTAAGCCTCTAGGCAAATGGTATTTCTGCAAAAACAATTAATAAATCAATTAAGTTACGCAGTGATGCAATGGTTTTAAGGACAGGTTATTGTAAAAGAGTATCACCAAGTGCTATTGTGGCTGAAACTGTTTCCAGTTAGATTTGGAATACTAAATTGAATAAAAATGGAGGCATGAAAGGGCTCAAAACTAGAAACCATATTAAAAATGTAAAAAAAAAATAAATAATAAATAAATCTTAAAAAAAAAGCTAAAGAGACCCAGAATAATATTTTTTCCTATGAAAGCACATGTTCATGGAGTGCAGACAGAGCAAGACTGAAAATGACTGACCATGAATTTTAAATCTTTCTAGGAAACCAGAAAATTATATAAATTTATTATAAAATTATATATTTCTACTAATCAGATAATATGAAATACACCATATCTCAAACGTTCAACTCCTTAATTTTTTTTTTTTTTTTTTTTTTTTTTTTTTATAGAGGCATGTTTTATTTATTTATTTGTTTGTTTGTTCGTTTGTTTCGTTTATACATGCACTGGGTACAGTCAGAAGCACGGGAGGGTGAGAGAATTCACCAGAGCCAGAGCGGGGAGCAGAGCAGGCAGAAGGACCGAAGCACACTGCTGAGGGGAGCAGCGGGCGGCAGGAGAGGTCTGCGCGCCATGTGGGATCCTCCTCTGGTGGCCGGGGAGCAGCTGGGGATCGAACTGGCGCCGCAGAGGCTGCGGGCAGCTTCGCAACCCAGCGCTCAACCGCTGCGCCACCGGGGAGGCCCCAACTCCTTAATTTTTGCAAAAGATTTCACCTGTCTTTATGTCCAAATGAAACAAAACAGTACCCTTTTTTTAATTTAGCTCAAGAAAGTATTTAGGTGCATGGGCAGGGACAGATCTCACAGGTACACAGTTGTGTTTTCTAACAGACTGTAGAGATATCATTGCCATGAATACATCTTTTACCTTGAAATGTTAAAGAGCATAAAAGTAACATTTTTTACAAAAGAGGAATTTAAAAATAAATGGTGAGTAACCAGGCTTGCCAATAGTGGACCTCATTCAAAGCACTACGCAACAATGTGTGTTTACATCACCCTTTTATTTCATTGTTAGAAATAATACAGTTCCACAGGGTAAATCATCAATAAATAACGGTGTTTAATCATTAAACATAAAAATCCCAACTCTTTGGCATCTGACAGGATTCTATTTCTTGTCAAACTAGTGACTGTGTAGATATAGTTAATCTTAGTGATCATTCGTCAATACAATATGTTACAAAGGTGCAATTTACTTTAAAATATACAATAGCTGAAAATTTCCAGCCCATCACCAAATCTGATCAACTCAGTAAATTATGAGCCAACCTCCCCCAGCCTCTTTCACATAGTTTGCCTCAGTGAAAGTATAATAAACGTTACGAGCTCCTAGGGTTCTCTAATACTTGTTGTGTTCTAAATAGTTTGCCATTCATTCTGGCTAAATAAAAGTCACAACTGTACCAAGAGTGACCCACTCATTAATTAAAAGGTGTTCTTATTTTATAAGCAAGATTGCTAACACCTAAGAAACTCACAGCCCCCCAAATAAAGTTTAAAATAAGCAGTTCTATGCTACCAGAAATGCCAATTCAATAATAAATTGCACCTTCAAGAGTCAAAACAGAAACAAACTTTTACAAAAAGGTAAGTTACATTTTTTTTTTCAAAATATATTCAAGAATAGTTGAGCTATATTTGTTACTAAAGCCAGGGCATTATTTCTTTAGCAACAAATTAAACCAGTGCAATTGACATAAATTGTTAAGTAATCCAGGATTAACCCATTAAAACTGTAGAAGCACTTTAGGCTCCTACCCTAATCCTAGAGACTGAAATTTCAGTAAGTGCGTGTACTGCACAGAACTAAAACTGGAATGACCCGGATGCCATGCTGAATGGTGTCACTTCACACTTAGTTTGAGCATTCAATAGTAGAAATCACGAGTTCCTCTGTTAAAGTTCCATTCACATACAGAACATTCAGATGCAAACATTTTTATGCTTATAGTCCATGATTAAAAGAATCCTTTCCATTCTAAACTTCCAGATGAATTTTAAATTAGAAAATAAGCACTAAGGAAACATTTTCAACTTATGAAAATTTCATTTTGGAAACTTTCTGGAAGAGCTCCCCCCAATGTAAAATAAATACTTTGTATCCCAAATTTCATTTTATTAAGACACACTTTAATAACGCTATAAAGAAATATTTTACAGCCATAGAGATCAATAACTTTCCATGCGGAAATAAAAAATTCATTGCTCAATAATACTATTGAGGCAAGTGAAGAACGATTACTCTCTTGTCAATCTGAAATGTTAATTTTTTTCAGTGCAAAACCAGTTATAAAATATTTAAACTCAATATTTAAAAATAAAAAGTGGTCCAATTCAGCAATGTTCAAGTTCTAAATTCCATAAAACAAATCATTACATACATTTTATAGTAAAATACAGAGATTAAAGAAGTACTTGAGTACTTAAGATATAAATTTCTAATGTATCATACCAAGTCAGCAACAACCAAGCAGATAACATTCCCAATTTGAGTGTCAGAATCGAAAGATGACATTACGGTACCAAAACCTTGTTTCCTAGCTAAAAAGCTATACAAACTAGTGGTCAACATTCTCTTTTCTTTGCAGATGCGTGCTCTAGAATGATTTTCCCCCAAGTACCTGTGATTCATTCCTGTATTCAAAATTTGATCCCAACGATTTTTATGTTCCAGGAACATTTAGCTGAAATAACCATCTACAGTGTGAAGAGTCCTGTACAGAGTACAACAGTGGATTTTTCTACCCAAGGGCAGGCTGACCTAAACTGGTTTACACGCTCTGTAAGTCACTCATGTGTTATTCCTAGCAAACACACGGTCCCCTCTGAGGGTTAGGTGTTGAAGCTGGTACTGTAGCACTTCTGTGTCAGCTGGCTCCTTGATGTTCATTTTATCTAGATTGAGGTAGTCCAGAGATTTGGAGTGAGCCCTTTTACCTTTAAGAAGACAAAGAGGCAGAGGCCCATGGAGAGCCTTGTAAGGTTCATAAGGTAAAGACTTAGTGCACTTGTCTCCTGAGCTGGGCATCCGCCTTCGTCTCCTGCCATTGACAGCTGGGATCTCATATGGCTGGTAGTACCTACTTCTTGTTTTATATAAGCGAGAGGAACGGGCGAGTCCTGCATCCAGCTGTTTGGAGCGCAAGGAAGGCATGGCTTCTCCCTTACCCTCCTCACCTCCCGTGCACTTCTGGGCTAACTTCAGGAGTTCCTCACCAGTGGTGAAGCCAACCAAATAGTTAGAGTCCATGTGGAGGATCTGGTAGCCCGACACAGTCCGGCGCATGGGTGAACACGGCGTACTGGAGCAGCGGGGCTTCTCCGCCTCTGCCTTCCCCGGGGAGCTCGCCTCGGCCACGGGCAAGGGCAGGGTGGTCAGGGGACTTCTGGACTCGCCATTAACATCTACTTCCATTTTAGGCACCAGTCTGCACACTCCTAAAAGTCAACAGACTCAGATTAGAAAAATATAAAGCATGGAACCTTGGGCCACCTGGATCGTTTTAGAAAGCTCAGGGAGCATGAAATAACACTGGCCTGAAAATCTGCCAGGGTGACAGATTTTTATCTTTGTCTATTAAACCTTCCAGAACAAGCATGAAATGACTACTACTTCTCTACCGTCAAGGATTCAACGGCAGGTTAAATTAAAGCCTGAAGTACTACTAAAAGTTTCAGGTGAAAAAGAGAACATAAAACAACTATCACACTTCTTTAAATGCAGCATTCCACTCAATCATGTGACGTTTCCTCTGTGATGAATGATCTAGCAAATCAAATACATCAAGCAAATAAAGACACTTATAAACAGTTTCACAATAATCCACAAAATAATTACATCCTGAAAATTAAAATCTTTACTTTTTCTATCATTTCAAACATGTGCCCAGTTCTTCACAACTATAATTCTTTTCAATTATGTTTAAGGAGAATATAATGAAAGGAAAAACTCATCATTTTCTACAAAGATTCTAATCTGTATCTAAAAAAGGAGCCTTAAGGGAGGTTCCACTCTAATCTTGAAAATGTTCTTCCTTTCATATCTTTCATATCCTTATTCAGAGAAAAACATTTTGTAATTTAAAAGTTGATCCTAAGTCCAATAATTCAGGTCATTTTTAACATTAAACACACATAAAGTATCAAATGCATTTTGACTAATCAGAAGATACGCCATTGATTTGACAGTTACTTTATTTTGCAGTACTTAACATACTATAATTTTGACTAGATTAATAAGTGGCTGAATAATTCACACACACGCTAGTATTACTGCAATTATCACACTGCATAGTTGGGAAAATTCCAGTTACAAGAAACATCACAAATAGTGACCAGCTGCTACAAAGTTGCAGATAAATCAAATTTTAGAAAGTAAAATACTAAGCAAAGCTAAATGACAATATTAACGCTAAGAAACTTTACCCCTACTTTATCATCCATTATAAATAGTTACATTTTAGTATCTCAGATTGCTAACCAAAAATGATGCCAAGTAATATCTAATTTCAAAATGAAGGAATTATTGAAAAAGACTTATTAAATCATTCTCATGAATTCTTTTGCAAGACAAATAATCGTTTCCTAATTGAAATATTTCAGAATCTTATTCTTTCATTGCTTGCTGTCCTTTCCTTTACTAGAAAATAAATAAACCAAGACTGTGAAGAAATTACCAGATGCCATCCTGTCCACAATTCAGTCCACATCTACAGAACTAAAAACTCACATTAATAATGATTCCTGAGATAAAGCAAATGTCAAAAGCGGCAAAACTGTTTTAACTTTTTATGATAAATCTTAGCGTATTTCCAACTTTAATTTAACCAAAAGACCGTAACCCCTCAACCCTTTTAGATTTGAAATAATTGGCTTTCTTCTCTATTATTATTGTAAAAATAAACTTACTCTTGATTGTGTAATATATTTCTCTATTGATTAGGCAGGAATAGTAGGTGACTATTAGCTATTCTGACATGCACACGAAAACCTAAGAGTCATATCTAATGAACTGAAGGGGGCCACTTGATGAAGCTCATAGAATTTTATGCTGAGCCAACAATGTTTACTCTAAGCCAAAAAGGAAACAAATTCCATTTTCACTTGTTCTGAAGCCACAAAGAACATAGAGGACTACTCCGAGGTCTCCAATCTACCTAACCTGACAGGCAGCTTACAGGCAGGAACTGATTTTCTGATACATCATTCTAAAAAACAGCAAGAGGAGAGTCAAGGAGTCAAAAGAGCCAGGGCTGGAGAGAAAATGGGGCACACCCAAGTGGTGACCTCAAACAATCAGCAAACCCAAGTGTTGACCTCAAACAATCAGGACCTGACACTGGCCTAGGTGTATTCCATATCTGACAGTGCAAAGATTTCCACAGGTCCCCTTCTCATAACCTCTTGTGACATAATATTAGCTTTCTAAAATTCTAAATGGGAAATAATTCAAACAATCTAGGTCTATGGGGCATAAAAGATCTAAGCAAGGTGCAGTGTACAAAATCATTGTAAATAAAAGCAGGCATAGGACTCTGGTAAATAGGATCACCAGAAGCTCATTCTCACATTAAGTGAATTCTGCCTCATCAAAGCAGATCACTAGGAATTCCGAGAACAAAGGAAGGCAGGAAACAAAGGTATGAAAGAAATGGGCAGAAATGACAACATAGTAGCTCAGAAAATAAGTATCTAGAAAACTAGAGTAGTAAGAACAATGAATGAAGGAATGTATGAAGGTCCAATTTGATGAGATGTGAAATAGACACTGTTGTTAGATGAGTAACTATCACTGACTAAATTTCCTGCTTCCAGTAAGACCATAAAAAAATCACCAAGCTTGGGCAAGACTATCCAACAGGATCTTCAGACAGCTACCTGGGAAGCAGTGATTTAACCTACATTGTTAACCAGAAGATGTGGTTTTAAAGTTCTGGAAGTCTCAGCCAGGTAGTCAGGTGTAAGAAATTTACAAGCTTTGCTAAATTAAGGTAAACCACACACTTCTGTAGAAAACACTTATTAGCCAAAAAGCTAAAGAAGTATTTCTAATATCCTCTAACACAAATATTTAACCTAGTATCTAAGGTCAACACAAAAAAGGTCAAGGTTCTATGTAAAATTTCTGAATGGGCATCTCCCTACACTGGATTCATTTTAAATGTACATATAATTTGTCTTCTTTTTTTATTTTATTTTACATATTTTTACATCATTTTTCATTTTTGCACAATGTATGCATTTTCACATTGGTTATAGTCCCCATATAATTCCCACCCACCTTGTTTTGATCCTACTCCATTCTCTCAGCCCTCCCCTTCCACCCAATAGTGTGTCCATATAAAGCTGCTACCAGCTGAACTTTCTATGAACAATTCTAAGGCTGGAAAACTGCACTTTTTAGGTCTGAGACATCAATACTTTTGCTCCAAACAAGGGTGTATGCTCAAAGGAAAGTTCCTTTTAGTGGTTTTACTAGTGTCTGCAGTGTCTTATTCTATGTCAAGAATATTTTCAGATCTTCATATTCAAGTGGGAGCATGAATGGTGCAACCAAGACAAATTGCTTCAATTTTTTAAAGGATCCCTTTCTCTTATATACTGCCCTTCTATAGAAAACCTACTGTGTGGTACTATGGATGTAGGTGGAGCCTGGGTTTCAGAAAAGAGAGCACTGATTGATACAAACGCCATTTTTAGCTTGGTGGGATGCTGACCAAGTAACATAATTTCCATTCTTCAACATGACCAAAACCAAAATTCTTTAAGCTCTCAAATTAGTGATACTCTCCTGGCTGGATTTAAATTGTGGTGCAAGATCCCAAAACTAGTTACAGAATCAACCTGCACAGCTTATCTTTGAAAGAGGTGGTAGGTAACGTCGCACCTGAAGAATGGAAAGTCTGGGTAGTTGTCAATTTTGGAATTCTCCTAGAAAAGGGTGACGCTAAAAACAATCAAGATTGAACAGTCTCACAGTTAAGATATCTTGATGTATGGATGTCCAATATTTTTGTATACAGAATTTATTAAAAGACATTCATTAGGAAACTCAGTTGCTATGACTACAACTAGGGATGGTCTGTGTTTAGCAGCATATTCTTCATTTTTCCATGAAGTCTCCTTATGGATTTGATATTTTTAACAATTCTTTTCATGATTCAGCATAATGTTTCATATTCTAAAATAAACCTTGTATCAAAAAATCATACTGCCAAGATAAACGATGACAAAGCAGTCTTGTAAATATGGGATTGCAGGTACAGACAACAGCCAGTCCCGCCTCAGCATCCATGAGAATAAATGTGAATGAGGAATGAGGCCCAATATGAACTGCCACATCACAGGGTATTAAAAAAGAGGGACCAGCAATACCCTGTTGCTTCCATTAATGCATTTCATATACAGTTTAAATAAAAAATAAAGACTGGAAACAGAAAATAGAAACAATGTTGTTGTAACAGAAGTAGCAAAATTTCTGGTAATAGAAGAGTTTACAGCAGACATGTACCTGTAGATAGGTAAACTTGGGGTTGAACAATGCTTTTAAAACTGAGTTCCTTAAACAAGGATCAGGAATAAATATCAATACAATGTTTTAAATGACAGCTAAGGATCATCACTATAAAATTCCTTGAGCATCCCATCAGTAACAATGGAACCAATGTGTATTTATAGAGCATATGGAACACCTAATGTTCACAGATGCCATATATGTATTTCTTTGAAATAGAGGAGGATTCAAAACTAGACAACATGAGAGGAGGTAACACTTTTTAACATTTACTAAAAAAAATGCACACACATTCTAAAACACTGGGTACAGCAGGCAATTATGAACTTGGGCCAAAGCTAAAGCAAATAGGTCCAAAGCACAACACACATGTAGGGGAACTCAGTGCACCAAGACAAGCACATACAGATGACTGTGCCCTCCATAGAGTTGGGTCAGCTGGGAACACTCTACAGAGGCCAAACTCCCCAAACATTTGGCACAATTTGAAATTTGGAAAATGTAACCAAAATGCCTTAGTTCCTTAAACCAACTCAGAATTAAGTTTCACAACTGCAATGCAAAGAATTCATTTGGAGAAGTATAGCAATCTGGGCATATTTTTTCTTAATGGGAATTATCAAAAAAAGTTACCCTCAGTCATGAGAAAACTGTTCCATATGTTTGAGTTTTTTAGCAACAAACAGCCATTCCATTTAAGAGAAAACAGATACACACAAAACTTTCTAAACACACAAGACAAAAATGTCATTATAAAATGTGAACTAAATTCCTTTTAAAGCGGAAAGTGAAAGGAACCAGCTATAACAGAGTCTCCTAAAAAGGACTATTATCAGTCTAGTGATATCTACAACCATCAAGTTTTAATGCAGACTCATCTTTAATGCAACTACTCATGTAGTTAATTTCCCTGGACTTCAAACTATAGAGAAGAGGACCCTGAGGCCACCAAGGAGGGTTTACTCAGAGCTATGCAGGCAGGTTCAGGACTCTTGGTTCAAGTCCAATGTTCCTTCCACTGCATCAGGCAACACTTCTCACACTTGGTGGTCAAACTTATCTACACACTGACATCATATCCAAGAACTTTCAAAAAATACTGACCTTTCTGCTCTACCCCAGCACAGTCTGGTTCCTGAAATTGTTAAAAGATCCCCAGGTGATTTTAATGTGTGGACAGATTTGGTAACTTTTATACAACTTATCAGAGAGAATTTCACTCATGTAAGTTCCTTTTTTTAATCCATAATTACAGTCATGCTAGTGGATAACATTTCTGGCTGCTTCTATAATGGCTAACAACTAAGCCCTAAGGCCTTCTAATTTACTGCTTCTAATCCACTGTGGGCTTAAAAACTATGTGCTAACCAAACATTTGGCTAAAACTGGGTATAAAATAAAAACAAATCTGTGCTTAATGTGAATCAAGCTCCTTTTGCTGTATACACTTTGGTACACTATTCTAACATCTTAGAAGCCTTGGTTAGATAAAGTCACTTTGAAAATCTGCTTGGCAATTTTCTTATAAAGTAAATAAATATTTATTAAATAACCCAGCTACTCTACTTATTATGTATTTACGTAAGAAAAATAAAAATATATGTTCACACAAAGATCTGAATGTGTATGTTTACAACAGCTTCATTTATAACCACCAAAAACTGGAAACAATCCAAATGTCCAGCAACAAAGAAATGGATTTTTAAAAAACTGAAATATCACATACATGATGGAATACCATTTAGCAATGAAAAGGAGCAAACTAGCATTACACTATGTAAAGAAGCAGACAGCAAATTCTATACACTGTGTGATTTTACATTTATGACATTCTAGAAGAGGCAAAACCTTGGGGACAGAAATCAATCAGTGAAGGGTTTGGGGTTCAAGAGGGGACAGGTTACAATGACAAATGAACACAGGGCTTATGGTGGATGATGAAAACATTCTATATATTGACTATATTGGACCTTAGACAATCAGATATCTTTGTCAAAACTCATTTATATACTGTAAAAGGGTGAATTTTACTATATATAAATTCTATGTCAATAAACCTGACTAAAAATAAAAGCCTGTGACAAATTTCCAAGGCCTTTATGTCCTTCTAAATTTCAAAATTCTTCAAAAATTGTATAAGCACAAAATCAGCAAGAATCTTAATGGTTGTCCTGTCTATGACTGAACACCTTCAATAAGAGGTAACTCAGTACCTACCATTTTGGTTCATCTGACCTTTTGCAGCTCTGCTAGAATGTCCCTTTAATCACATGTCACTGTAACTATGCATAAGTACAAAAACATGAGCAAATGCACACAGATCTAACACACACTCCCGCAGCTTCTACGCACTGCTCCCAGTTTTATCTTTTATTTCAACTGGATGAGTTAATGACCCAGCCACATTACTCCTCAATCGATATCCTCTAAAAGTATTTGTATTTTCAAACCTCTTGTTCTTTTCCTCAAAACTGAATACTGTAGTCATATTTCTATTTTTTCAGTGTTTTAAAATACATTTTTATAAATTTGATAAGCTATAATCTACAAAACAAAAGTGTTTTATTTTTCACCATCATTCCTTTGAGTCATTCTGCTGCTGACTGCTAACTTAAAAATCACTTACTATGGAACTGCTTTTTCCAAGGATTATGACTTCTCCAAGTAATTTGAAGCAAGGACCCACAAAGATACTGGCCAAGTGAAGTGAAATATTAAAGCAAGCACTCACATTAATATAGCTTTTAAAATGCTAAAGCGCTACAAAGATCATAATTATTTTTTTTTTCTCTTCAAAGATTTGGAGACACAGAGACAACTACTTTAGCACAGATACACAGATGACACACTGAAAAAAGACAACTAAAGAAAGACAACAGTTTTCTCTATTTTTAACATTTCAAACTCATGGTGTGATAAAAGGAATGTCACATAATGAACTGCCATCCGACTAAGTGAAAATGATGCTCCTTTCAGTCACCTGTTTGCCATTCTTGGTGTGTTATAACACAACACTTTGCAAATTATTTTACCAATCTTTGGGGATTAACATTTTTGTCAAAATGTCCCTGAAATCAGAGTAACTACCTCTTAACCGTTACATTCTAAAATATTATTCCATAACACTGCTTTTATCTGACAAAATTAAAGTCTATTCAATCAACAAGTAAACATTCCAACTATAGTAATGTTAATTTCAGTCACCTGAAATTAAAAATTTATATGTAGTATCCATATAGGCTGACATCCTGCATTGGTATACTTAGGCAGTCCTTAAAACAGTTATATTACGTTCATACAACTGGTTAACAAACAGAAAAATCAAAATATAACTCACCAGACTAAATCCCAGAAGATGTCACTGCACAATTTCCAATGAGTCGCAAAGGAATACAGGCATAATAATTTTTCTGCTCTACTCCAGATACTGAACATGAAATACAAAAATAAACCTTTAATTTAACAAGCAGCTTTACTTACAAAGCAATTATATCATCCTAACTGCAAAACAGGATGAAACTAGCAGGAGGTACTAATACCAGGTACAGATTATATAGGCTACAATATTAAATAATTTAATCAGAGTAATTTTGAGTTTGTTCAGCTACATAAAACTTCAGACACTTTATCAGGCTCATGATTCTGTATTCTGTTGTTTAATCCCCATCTGGATTATAAGAGTAGCTAATAAACAGGCAAGAAAAATTAGGGCTTTAAATCGAGGTTCCACCACCCTTGCCCTAGTCCTATGTTCACCAGATTTACAGTAGCTGATGGAAATGACAACACTGTAGTGGGGTCAAAAGAACAAGTCCTCACAGTGGCCTTGAAAATGTTTCCTCTGGATCTTGCATAAAAACAATCTTTACAGCGAGTGCAATTCCAATCTTCCTCACACAGTTGCTATGTGGAACAAATGAGATGAGTTATGTGAACTTTGCACGCTGCAAAGTTCTTTAAGGACATGTGACTTATTTTTTTTGCACATTTCTGGTGTCTGCTCATTTTAGCAGTAAGACAGCAACAATAAAAATCCTTCTTCAGACAGCTCTGAGACAAATGACTGGAATCGTCTGGGGAAACTTTTTTTAAAAAAGAAAGTACATGAAAAACACTTCTTCATAGTTTATCACACTGCTGATGGTTTCTAGCAATTCCTCCGTGCCTTCCTCTCTTACCTGGGGAGGCAGTGTGTAAGAGAATCTATCTTTATCTCCTACCTTCCCAGTTAATTGGGCTAATTTCTTGAGACCAAGAAAACTCCCCAAAGTCCTTTCCACCTGTACTGTTGCTGTGGTTGTTAGGTTTTCTGTTGTTGTGTTCAACCTGGGGGCTGGGAGGGAAGGAGGCACATATGAGCCACTGCATAAGAATCTTATTCAAAGGAAATGAATAACTGTTGAACTGAAATTATTTCTTCTTCAGCTTCAGAAACTGAAAGGAGCCAATGCACCGCGATCTGGCATTCTGAGAAACTAACATGTTTATCAGTCTTTGAAACTTCTTCAGATTTAGTTATCAGGCACACTCTTTCATTTCTTTTGCCACAATCTATTTTCAAACTGGGTAAACAAATCAAGATAATTAATATTTGGTTCTACTTACCAATGAAGCCTCTGATTTTAACACAAAGTGGAGTGTAATGTAAGAAAAATTGTTATCTAAGAATACGTTTTTATTTGTATAATTACCTCCAAGGAACTCCCCCCAAATAACTAACATTATTATATAACTGATGTTATAAAGTTCAATTAATTTATATGGATGAACTTTCATGGGGAATGGAAATAATAAACTATTTTGACCACCATCTATAGGCCAAAAACTATATGCAATTTATATCATTTAATGTCAACAGCTCTACTCCATGAGGAAAATATTATCTCCATTTTAAAATATTCAGTCAAGTTGGAATACTTGAGAGTCAGAGCAGGATCTGAACACCAATCAATCTGACTCCAAAGACACCGACTGCTGTGTAAATCCATCAAGCAGTAAGCCCAAGTGGTAGCCTTTTATACAATTATGTTCCTGCAAAATGAGTATTAATAATCAGTCAACTTCTATAAAATGGAATGCTATTTTAAATATGTGGGGAGGTACTTTATTTAAAAGCTTTACTGCTCATTTGTGAACTGGTCGAAGGGAGATGGTTTTACCTATAGCTTTAGGGTTACTTCCAACTTGAAAAATGTTAGGATTCTAAGGCACCTAGTGAAGAGTCATATACAAAATCGTTTTAAGTCATGAACTCTCTAAGAGTTTATAAGATTTTTTAAAATCATAAATTATAAGGCATGAAAAAGTGCATCAACTAATACTATATCTGGATAAATGCCAAATACAGGCAGGTATTTCCACTTATTTTTTCAGTGCTACACCTATCACAAAGTGAAAAGATTTCATGGACTTTTAGAAATTCTGACTAAAACTATAGAAGCCAAACATTAGAAAAATGTGAATCTGTTTCAACTCTAAATATAGGATGAATTTAAAAGTTTAAAATCACCTTCACACTTTCCTATAATTTACATCATGTATCTGGTAATAGAGCCTGCATTTCAAATTCGTAAATGCATTGGGAAAAGACATTTCCAACTTATTTTCAACCCCAAAAGAAAATACAACCTAAACCTTCACTCTGGATTTGAAAACAGAGGAGCCTTAAAGTAATTATCCAACTCCTGCACTGGGGCTGATGTGGAAGTCTAGGAAATGGTCGGTAATTTCATAGTAAACAAAGTGTAGTAACTGATTATCCCTATTATGCCAGTGCCAAGACAGAAATAGAATACAAACACAGAGTCCAAGGGAGCAACACAGGCAAAACCGAGGAGCAAATGGCAGTAGCTCCATTCTACTCCTCATTTCTTACTCATTTGTGACTCTGCTTATTGTTTTATGGTTAACTACTATCTGCTATCTGTGCGCAGATGCTAAAAGGAGGAGGAGAATGAAGATGGGGCAAAGAGGGAAAATTAAAACATAAAAAGAATTAGGTTAGAAAGTAGTATAGGAATATACCTTGTGAATAGATTAGCTATAAAGAAATCTAGTTAAAAAAATTCTAGAAAGGGCTTTACCTCCATCTTCCACTAGAAACAGTTAAGACTGTCATAGGAATGCCCCTAAATATAAACCTTCCAAATAACATTTTTAGAATACTTTAAAAATCTGTAAATCCCTAACACTGACAATTGAGTCTGGCCAATGTTTTGAAAATGAAGACTTGGCAAGATATCAAAGGATCTCCTCACACAAGAAGGAAAAAAATGCCCATGAAATTCTTACAAGATGGACTAGATGCTACAGAGAAAAACGGAAGTAAACAGAGCAAAGACCAGAATATGTAATCCTTCCAGCTATTAAGTAGCTAAAACACAGAGAAAGTCCTGTGACATTATCCTGTAAGCAATAAAAACAAGAAAAATTAAGCATAGCCAACAGTTGCCCACAGGCCTCTGGATAAGGAGTCATGGGTGACTAAGCAGAAGACACCCAACATTTAACTGCAAATGAAGCTTCTACAAATAGAAAAGTTTGCAAACATTAGCTAGCAAGTGTGTCAAGTTTCTCAGGTAAGGTGATAGATATCATCACAGGTAAATAAAGAACAATGTCCTTCAAAAGCAGTGTGACCATGTGTCTCAGTTCATAGTAGTGTCCTGGCCCAGTGATTTATAGCATCCTCTTTAGCCCTCAAAAGTGTCCAAGGCCTTCTATTATATTGTTACCTTGATCAATATGAATATGTTACAATGGAAAGACAATGGATTAACAGAGAGAGGAAGGGGGAGAGAATAAAAGAAAACCCTTCTGCTTGCATGATGTCATCCCATACAATTATTAGTTTACTCATTCATTCATTCAACCCAGTACTTTTTGAGTCTTATCATGTCCCAGCATTGTACAGGAACTGGGACAAATACACCAGGCTAGAAGGGAAGACAAATGCATTAATTGAATATATAATGGTAAACTTGAATGGCACAGGGAACCAGGAGATGAGTGGTCATCCCAAAAAAGCCATACATGCCAGGATTCAGCATAGATCCACAACATAACAGCAGTAAGAAAAATGTAGCAAAACCTGTAAGTTTCCAAATCATAAGGTTGTAAATATGAAGGGCAGGGTTCCACTGTGAATTTTGGCAAATAAGTTCCACTAATGGCCAAAGATTTTATTATGAAAAGAAAAATAAATTTCAGGCAAAGGAAAGAGGTAGAGCAGAAAGTCCTGGGTTCTAATTCTGACTCTCAAAATACAAAGTAAGGGTGACTATTTGAGGAAAGATTAATAATGAGAAAGCATGGGGGGGGGGCGGAGAAAACAGCAATTTTAAAAGAGTCATTCAGACCAATGAAAATACTTTGAGCCCACCAGTCCCAAAGATGATTCTTAAAAACAAGTAAAAAAGGCAAAAACCAAAACATCTCTCAAATTACAGAACACTGAGCAGAAATAAAAGGGTTTAACTGCCAAAGTACAACACTCACCAGGAAAACAAAATGCTGAGCTGTACCTACATGCTTACGTAGAATTACTTTTAAATAACCTCATCATTGGCAACTTGTAAAAATGAAATTATCAGTAAATCTTTTAACAGTGGTTACCAAGGGTGTGATTTCTGAAACCATCCTGACCTTACAAACCAATCATTAACCTCACCAAGGTAGGACAACACCTAATTAGTTCAGTAAGACAAAAATGTGTTTCTCTTTCAATATCAGTGTTTAACAGCTTTTACAGTGCAACCTTCATTTTTCTTTCTCTTTTTGCTTTCAGAGATTAAAGCTAGATAACTCATGTTTTCTTATTATCATGTGATGTCACCCTTCTTCTTTTAGGGGAAAAAATTCAATTTCACTACAAATATGATTGACTTGCAGGTCTACATGAAATCTTTGCAAGAAATTTGCCTCTTAGGAAGCATAGCTGAAATGGGACGGCCATAAACTGTGAAACAGGCTAGCCTTCCAGGTGAAAGCTTAAAACCAGGAACTTATTTTGATAGGCTGATGAAAAAAATCAGAGTTCTCTCTGCAGAAAAAGAGGAAAAGACTCCCCTTCCCTGGGCAATAAACCACCCCCCCCCCAAAAAAAAAAGAAAGAAATTAAACCTGTGTATGAAATTGAATTATTCCCACTTTTAAGGTTTAATGTGTGCATAGCTCTCCAAAGTATGCAAAATTATACTTAGAAAGTAAACAAATCCACAGACCATTATGTAAGGTCCATAAATACCCTGTATCTTATATCCTGGAAGTTACTACTAAATATTCTCACTTGAAAATAAATAATCTAGAAAGCTGACAAAAGCACATTTTTTTTATGCACCGTTCTGATCACGTCAAGAGACCTCTGGGTTCATGATCCTTGTATTCCATCCTGGTTATTATTATTTTTGAGTTTTGCAGTGTATCGTTACATAATGAAAACACTAAGAAATCTGTGAGACATTCATTAAGCACAATGTGTAAATCGTGCTCTTGCATTAATAAAGTACCAAAAGTTTCTTCAGTGAAAACTAATACTGTATTTTGAAATGACTGAAAAAACAAACCTTGGGAGGAGGTCGTTTCTATTTTCCTAACGTCTAACATGCTCTACCAAGTTTAATACACACAGACACACAGAGAGAGCAACTAACAACTCTAATTGTAGGGTGGCTCATCTCAGAAAAACAATGTCAAATGAAGAGCCCAGTAACGTCACAAATGTTGTGCAAGAATTGTTCTCTGGGCTAGGAGCAGCAAGCACGCTATAAAAATGCCGCCGCCTTATTCTTCCTCTTCCTGAAATGATTAAAAAGTTCCCAGCCCCGGTTTTACCTGTGCACCAGTCACAGGCATACACACTCAGCATTTAGGCTCGACCCAAATCACTAAGCTCCCCACCCCGACACCCGCGGATGCAAACTGGCGCGGGTGGAGAAGCAGGGAGACCCTAAGAATGTGGAACTCTTGCAAGGGGAAAAGGACGGGGCCATCCACCCCTTCGCGTTCTCGTCTCCTGCCGGCAGAGATTTGCAGATTCCACCACAAGTGAGTTCAGAAGCTTCACAATGGGGCCGCCGACTCAAGATCTGACTGCCGCCCTTCTGGGAACCCCTTTCCTCCACTTCCCACTCGCCTCGAAGTCCACCGTCGACAGGTGGGGCGAGGGCGGCAGTGCCCTACGACATCTGCCGCGCCCGCGTCGGGCCAGCCCGCGACCCCAAGCCACACGCGCGGCCCCGGCCAGCCCGTCCGCCCCCGCCGCACCGGCAGACGCCCAGCGGGTGCGGGCGACAAGAGCGCGGGCGGTTTCGCCCCCAGATTGAAGCACCAGCAAGTAGGGCCACGCGATAAGGCCTCCGGGACCCTCCCGAGGCGCTATCTGGCCGGGGCAGTGGCACCCGGAGCGCGGCCTGGGCACGCAGCCAGAAGGCGCAGCAGGCCCGGGAAAGGGCTGCTTCTCAATGAGCGCCCCGGCCGCTGCCCCGCTATGCGGGCACCACGGCGGAGGAGCAAGCGCGCGCCAACGCGCCCCGACTTCCGCACCATCGCGCCGCGGGAAAGGCGCTCCGGGTAACCCCGTCCCCGCACCTCCCCGGCGGGCGCACGCCGCGCGCGCACGGGAGCGCACGCCCCCGCACAGTCACACACGCGCTGCACACTCACGGCGTCTCCGGGCCCCACCCCTGTGCCAGGGAACCGCGGGCTCCCCTCACCCCGCAAGGGCCCCACCCAGTTCACCAGACCCCAACCGCCGGCTCCAGCGCCGGGAGACCAGCCCGCCGAGGCCGCGGGCCGCCGGAGCCGCCCCGTCGCCCATTCCCAAGGCCCGCCCGGCCGGGGTTCCCCAGCTCCGCGCGGGCACCGCGCGCCAGTGCCCGCACGAGGCTGGGAGGAAGGGGCGGCGCCGCGGCTGGGGCTGGCACCCGGGATCGGTGACTGGGGCACCCCCACCCACCCATCACCACCACCACCTTTTCTGCAACACAAAAGGTTGCAGACGGAACCGCCGTTCGCGTGCAACCTACCAGTGGCCCAAGCTCCGCCGCCGCCTCCGTGCCTGGGCCGCGGAGCCGGAGACCAGCCGGGAGGGGAGCAGGCTGCGGCGCCGAGATCCGGGCAGAGGCCGCCAGCCCAGCCAGCCGGGTACCCTCTCCTCTCCCACCGCGCTCAGCGCCAGTGCCGCCCGGCGCAGTCCCCGCCTCCTCCTCCTCCGCCCGCCTTCCCGCCTCCTCCCTCCGGCTGCAGAGGCGCAGCCGTCAGCTCTGAGCCCGCCTCCTGCGCCCGGCCCAGACACCGGGAGGAAGGGCGAACCGGCGAGGGAAAGGCGCTAAGAGGTCTGAAGAAGTTGGCGGGGGCAGGGAGCTGGCCATGGAGTAGCTGCCTGCGGAAGGGGGGTGGAGTCGTAACCTGCCACCCCCCCCAGCCCCCCCCCAGCCCCCCCCACCTCCCAGTCCCGAGCTGGCACTCCCCACTGAAAAGCTCCAACTTGCAGACCTGGCCACATTCAGGCTTCCAGTTAAATGATGTGGTGATGTTTGCCATTTGTGAGTCTCTGCTGAGTGTACTGAGCAGAAGTAGAGAAGACTAGAAACCTATGAAATAACGAATTATCTGGTCACACTTGGAAAACTGCTAGCTCTCTTGTGAATGGGAGGGGGTGTAACATTCAAATTTTGATCCTGACTGGGTTAACTATGTTTTAATCTGCAGACCTAATATTTTATATTCTGGTAAGAAATACTTTTCTTTGATCAAGATTTTCTATTCTCAATTCATGTACATCTTTTTTGCCAAACCGGTTAATAAATTTAGTGATCAGAATATTACTGGCTTTTATTTACATCACACTGTGCCAGGCCTTTTTACATGCACTTTTCTACTTTTCCAATTTTATACTTCTCAATAATTGTACGAGGAAGTAATTATCTGCACTTTATTTCAAAGATGCAGAAAGTTTAAGTGACTTCCTTGATGTCACAGACCAAATTTGTGACTGAGTTGGCTTCGAAGCCAGGCAGTCGAAGGCTGAATTCTTTGTCAGTGTTGCTAATTTGTGTGCCAGTCTCAATCCAAGAGATTTTTTTTTTCAAAATGCTTATCCGAATGTAAAAATCATAAACTTGGTGTCGATTAATACAAAAATAAACAATCTCGATTTAAACTGTTCCATGCCTATCTATGTATGCCCTAATAATATAAAAGCGAATAAATCTGAACGCTCCTACTTCAAGACTGAGCATGGAGTCTCCTCTGCTAAAACACATTTTGCTACCTCTATGTGCCCTAAAGTAAGTATGGGAAGGTAGAGGGAGAGAGAAGCTTTACTATTCTTTAAAAAACAATTTTCAAAAACATTATTTTATTTCTGATGTAGACATGTATTTAACTTTTCAAATATCAAAGCTGGCACAACATAATACGTATGGAGTAAATAAATGAATGAACCTTTTTTCATCATTATCTTAGAGCACACTGACAGTTAATTCAGATTACAATCTATTTGACACAGTAATATATCATTCTGAGGATGGTTCTCATAAAACCACCTTCACAACATTGTACATTTTATATTCAGGAACTAAATTCATTCAGTCTTGTCTGAAATCTTTTAACCTTTTAAAAAGAATGCCATGTACTTGCCCTTTGCTCTGAAAGTGTGGCAGTGTTCTTTGGCCAAAAGCAATAAAGTTCTGATTTGCCTTTAAATTTGTTAGGCTCAAGGCTAGTTCTCTTGAGAGGGCATTGTCTCCCAACTGCCTCCCTCCCTGGGTGGTTCTCCAGGATCCCATCCTAACCCAGATTCCTCACCCAATCAAAACTTCTGTCAATTCTTGGGTGTCACAAAGAATACCTAATAAACCAATTCACCAGGCAGTTAATGGCTGCTAATAGCTTTATGTGTGGTCCCTTAGTAATGTCTCTGCTACCTAAAGACTCTGAAGAGGTGCTCAGATTGGCCTGGGTTTGCAAGGGCTGTGACTGTTGGGGGCGGGCAGGGAGGTGGGATGCAGTGGGAGAAGGAGAAAGGAAGAGTAGTGAGAGTAATGCAGAGGTCCTTCCCAAAAACTTTCCTATATTTCTACAAATATCTATTCAACCACTAAAGAAAAAATGACATGTTTATCAAGAATTAGGTGCAAAGGTAGAATAGATGCTGTGATCTGAAAGACTGGTAACCTGGGGAGTCAGGTTAACTCCATCCCAAAAGCCCCTTGTGTAAATTACATATTTGCCTCAAGGCATCCTTTTCAGAAAATCACTTTAAAATGGCAATTGTCTGGAAAGTATTATACACTGATGTAAATAATGTTACCAAGTAAACATCCAGCTTGAGAGAACAGAATAGGTAAACTACCAGCCAGATGTGCAAGAAATACCACATCACCTTTATATAAACCACTTATTTCAGGCAAGGGCCACTGGGAAAATAGAGACAACGTCTAATATTACAAAGAGAGATAATCAAATGCAAGGAAACAGTACTTCAGATAATAAAAGCGCTCAGAAGTTAAATGGGGGATGGTGAAGTAACCAGAATCTGGCCACCGTGGTGGTTCCTAGCTGGAAAAATAAGAGGAGGAGGCAGGGCAGCCTGGTCAGCTTGGCAGGAGCTGCTGCCACAAAGGACAGACAGGAAGCTGTGTTTGGCAGAAAAGGGGGAAAACTGTACCATAGATCCTCTCTCTCTCCTATCCCCCAATCTCCTGCCAGAGCTTCCATTTAGCCAACCCTAGATTATTAGCCACCACCAGATTCAGGGAAGCAGTCTGCAGGTCAGTCCCCTGCAACGCAGAGGAGGATGTAAATCTCTGGGCAAATGGGATCTGCATCGGAACTTGATTTTGTTTCACTTTCAAGGATTCAGTCTTTCTTAAGTTTCTTCTCCATTCTGTTGAGTAGGGTCAGATTTCCATGAGCATCATGAATGCCAGCCCATGGGTAGGTGGTGATGACAGCGAGTGGGAGGAGGTCCTCTGGTTCATATCCATTTGTCTACAGAGGTTTCTATTGTCTCTTCCCAGCACTGCCACCTACAGTCACATGCTGCAATGCACAATATGGCTATAGATAGGATGGCCTTGCCCTAAGCATACAGTCCCTCCCTCCAGCTCTCTCCTGCTCCAGCACCACACTTGGAGCCAGAGAATATTCTGGTACTATCCTTCTAAACTTCAAACATTGTCAGCCATTTCTCTTTAGGGTTCTGTGATGCTCCTAAAATTCAGGGCTCAAATCCTACTGCTTGGGACATGCTGAGCTCTATTCTCTTCACTCCAAATCCAAAAGAAACTTTTCTTAGGGGAAGGTCTTCCTCTTCCTTCCATTTTCCCAGACACTGTCTCTTTGTCATCAAGCTCTGTCTCCCCCTGAGGCTTGATGAGCACTGGGCCATAAAAACCAGAAAAAGAATGTTCTACATGCAGCTCCTTTTTGCCCTGGCACAAACCACCCCTGGGACAATGAACAAAGGAGTAAGTACAAGATGAAAAAAATAATATCTCAAATAGTATCCAAGCAGAAAAGAGATAATGAGTACTGGGGACCAGGCTGAGGAGGAGGAAGACTGGAGGAATTTAGTTTGGAACACGTAGAATTCAGTGACTGCTGACCATCCATGTGGAGGATGGAGCTTAGTAGGAACAGCCTTTAGCCCTCACTAGACTGTACACACCTACACTATCTCTGTGCTTTTAAATCCTTTGAGCCTGCCTCTGGCTTGTTTGTAGAACATTCCCTATCCCTGACTTTCAACCTGACCAATTCTTACCCATTCTTCACGCTTCAGTGTAGATGCCCCAAGTCTGGGAAGACTTACCCAGTTCCTACCACCACATTTAGCACATGCTGCTGAAATAACCTCACTCCAAACATGTATATCCCCTGAGGTCCTGGGCTATGTCCAAGTCCCCAAAGTTAGCACAAAGACTGACCGATAGTCTGTGCTCAGTAAATACCTGGCTTAGTTTTAACTTAGAAGAACCTGCAGGTAAGGTCTGCTGAAACCGACTTTTTATCTGGCTCATGAGCATTGATTGCTAATTTTCACAAATGTTGCAAGTTGGTTATTAAAATCACTGATAGCTAGAAATATGAATTATGAGCCATAATAAGAGGATTCACACCATGGAAATCTGTAGACATTTTAAACAGGGATTCCCACCCTCCCCAAACCCTCCCCAAATAAAA